CTCGACAATATCGACCACAGCGCTACCGTTATTAGCGACGTAATAACAGAAGCAGCTCATGGAACAATTCCTCTTACAGTTAATAAACTATCTCATACAAGAGTACCATGGTGGAATGAAAAATGTCAAAACGCTGTGAAAGCGAAGAAACGTGCCCTCAACAAATTTAGAAAAACAAGAAATGTGCTTGATGCAATTGAATTTAAAAGATTGAGAGCCATAGCGAACAGAACCATAAAAGAAAGCAAAAGATCGTCATGGAAAGACTTTGTATCTTCAATTAATCAAAACACCTCAATGAAGGAGCTCTGGAATAAAGTGAAAAGCGTTAAGGGGATCCCCAAAACAAAGAAATTGCCTGGTATAAAGAGTGGACAAGACAGTATAACTGACCCTGATGAAATCGCGGAAAAATTGGCAGAATACTTTTATCAAGTATCCTCTATTATTACCCAAACCCCTATAAGCTGTAAAAATATGCCAGATCATTTGAACTTAGGCCACGAAGAAAACTACAATATTCCCATCGGGATACATGAACTCGAATATTTTCTACAGAAATGCTCAAAGAAATCCGCTGTAGGTAGTGACGGAATCTCATATGTGATGCTATATAATCTACCTGACGAAGGGAAACAGATACTATTGCGACTGTACAACCGAATTTGGGATACTGGCTATCTGCCACTAACATGGAGGCATTCCTTGATAGTGCCCATACAAAAAAAGGAAAAAAGTTGTCTTATAACAGACTTCCGCCCAATATCACTTCTCTCATGTGTGAGCAAACTGCAAGAAAAAATAGTAAATCAGAGAATGACTGAGGTAATAAAAAAGAGAGAGCTGCTCACTCCGTACCAATTCGGTTTCAGGGAAGACCACACCGCAATTGACCCCGTCCAAATACTGAAATGGGAAGCCCAACAAGCATTCCAAAAGAAGCAACACCTCATTGCCATATTCCTGGATGTCGAGAAAGCCTACGACACGCTGTGGAGATGGCGAGTATTAGACATACTAAGAAGATGGCACATCAAAGGAAAATTATGGAAGTACATAAAGAATTTCCTAAAAAATAGAACATTTAGTGTCAAAGTCGGAAATTCAGAATCCTCTATCTACAACATGGAGAATGGCACCCCTCAAGGATCCCCACTCAGCGTGACCCTCTTTCAGATCGCAGTAAATGACATAGCGGATGTAGTTGTCAAGCCTGCAAAAACCATTTTGTACGCAGATGACATAATGCTGCTCATTCGAAGTAAATCATTAGAATTCTTAAAGTGGAAGACGCAAGAAGCACTAGAAAACATAGAAAAATGGGCAACAGAGAGTGGGTTTAAACTATCTGCTAGCAAAACTAGAGCCATGCACTTTTGCAGATTAAGAGGGTGCACAATAAATCCAAAAATACGGATGGGTGGTGCTGAAATTCCATTCGTTAACAGCCTAAAATATTTGGGAATGGAGTTAGATCGCCCGCTTAGATGGACAATTCATATAAAACTGCCTAAAGAAGAGTGCCTCAAAAGAGTTGCCCTACTAAAATGCCTTTCTCATACGACTTGGGGAGCAGATAGAAAAAGCCTATTGAAAGTATACTATGCAAGTATTAGAAGCAAATTGGACTACGGCTCAAGCGTTTACGGCTCTGCTTCAAGCAAAACTTTAAGAATGTTGGACGTGGTACACAACTCTGCATTAAGAATTTGTACAGGGGCATTGCCAACCTCCCCTGTGGAAAGTCTATATGCAGAAGCTGGTGAACCTCCTCTAACCTTCAGAAGATTTTTCATGACAACGAAGTATGGTCTCAAAATCAAGACTAACCCAAGACACATACTAAATAAGATATTATTCTGCAATGAGGAATCAGGTAACATCAGGGAGAAAAACTTTGTAGAAACGCTTCTTGAGCATTTTTCGGATCTTAACATTGAAAATGTTCTGGATGTGCCGGATATAATAATTCCCAGATGGACCAATGTCAAACCAATTATAGATACCTCAATTTCCAGACATAAAAAGGATACGGCACTTCCAGTTGAAGTTCAAAAATTATTTTTAGAAACTTTGGAAAAATATAAGGAGTGTCACATCTTGTATACGGATGCCTCAAAAGTTGATAAGGAAGTAGGGTGTTCCGTTATGAATTTTAATACTCAAAAACTATTCAAAATTCCGGAGGCTTGCTCAGTGTTTACTGGTGAAATGCTAGCAATTAGAGAAGCTCTTAAACACATAGAGACAAGTGAAACTACCAATTGGGCAGTGGTGACAGACTCTATGAGTTCATTACTAGCTATTGAACATAACAGGCCCAAAACCTCTCTCGCAAAAGATGTAAGAAACGTTTGGTGGCTACTAAGGGAGAAGGGCAAAGAAGTAGTGTTCATTTGGGTCCCTTCGCATTGCGGGATCATCGGTAATGAACAAGCAGATCAAGCAGCCAACATAGCAAGAAAGCCAAATACAACATCCGTTGAATCAATTAATGAAATCCCTCTGGAGGATTACGTTATAAAAATTAAGGAGAATGTATGGAACATGTGGCAAAACAAGTGGGAACAAGGAGAATCGAAATTAAAAGAAATTAAACCCCACTGTTTAAAATGGGAAACCTCGCACCGACCATCTCGAAAAGAGGAGACAGCCCTTTGCAGACTGCGAATTGGACATTGTGAGTTCTCGCACTCCTACCTACTAAGAGGACTTGATCCTCCGACCTGCGAGAACTGCAATGTCCAAAGGACAGTAAAACACATTATTCAAGAATGCCCTACATTTGATCATATAAGGAGAAAGTTAGACATGGCACAGAGTCTGAAAGAAAATCTACAAGACCATGAAAATGCCGTTAAAAAAACTTTAAAGTTCTTAAAAATGATAAAATTCTACAACAGAGTTTAATTCAAAGGTGTTGCCAATGACCCTACAGGGTAGAGGCAACAAAAAAAAAAATCAAATAAATAAATAAATATTTTCAATTCATTTCACATATTTTAATATGTGATGGATATAACAGTATCCAAGTGGGAACTAATAATGAAATCGACACCTGTATTAACCTGCGTGCTCAACAGTACTTCGTAAGAAAACACGAAGGCTTATTCGGAACGTTATGATTCGATAATCTCTTTCTCTTCGAAGTTGTTGAAATGAAAATATTCCCCATCATGTTTTTGAACTTTCACAACATAATACAATGTTTCGGTCTTAACTAAATTTCTTGTTCTTCTATATCTTAAGCTCGAGAAACATCCATGCATATTTCTTTGGTCGCAGGGAATAACTTGATAAGTAAATGAACTTCGCGATCTATTTGTATTGTAATCATCTCAAAAGTCTTCTGAATACCGGGAAGGAATTAGTAACTCACTGCTCTAAATATTTTAGAGGCATAGATAAGAATTCTGGAATAGTAACTTCTCGGTATTTAGAATGTTTGTAAGATGATAACAACTCACGAGGTCCACTTTTTTTTCCTTCAGACTCTAGATTTCAGGAACTAATCTTTTATGTTGAATACTCCTTAAATGTGGAATTTAAATCTTTTCATTCCTGAAATTGAAAGAAATAGTATCCAATTGTTTCCTCGTGTGTACTGTATTGTAGTAGACAGTGCAAGCCTAGTATAATTAGATTTCACGCCAAATAAACCCTCCAGCGGTCTAATTTCTATTGCTATCAAAAATCCTCATTTGATTGCACTACATGGTCTTCTTGAATGAACTTCTGAAAGAGCGTGTTGTGTGGTTTCTAATCTACCTCATGTACTCAGTGTTTATCAGTTTATAGCCGGCTGGAGATGGCTGTTGTTATTTGACAACATACGCTCAATGATAGGACTTATGAACCTTTTTTACTTATTTGTTTTATTCTATATTATTTTGTTTTTTGTTAGAGTGGAATATTGTTTTACTATTGGTAAAAATTTTTCTATAGTCACCGCGTTGACGAATTGGCACCTGCGGGCTCGTGAGACTATAAGTCGTCGCAACGCGTCTGTATTGTAGTATGGGCTTTTTCAAAAACTAAAGTTCAGTCTCCCCTCTCTCTTACTTTTACCTCTATTTTTAAAATTTAAATTATAATTAATAAATTTATTGCTATGTTTCGTCAATAAATTAATTTCATATAAAAGGTACAACATCCGTTTTGTATGTCAGATTTAAAAAAGACATGCAGTAGCATGCAATAGTTGGTAATTATAAATTATTATAATTTCAATTATTTATGAAGCAACGCAATATTAATTTTTATTTTTATTATCTCTACTTGTTCATAAGTATTGCCTTCTATCTCTGTAGCTTGAAGAAAGTTTGAATTTATTGTTTTATAACTTTCCAATTTTTAAAGGTAGACGTAGTTAAAATAATTAAATTATAAAATTCAGATTATCACTTCGATGTTTTCTCTGAAGCCTGCTAAAGTCATTGCCGTGCCATCTGTGGGCATTTCGTCATATCCATATGAATCTTTGTTATAAAAAAAAATCCAAAAAAAGTGTGGAAGCTAGATCAAGACGTTTCATAGCCCATTTATAGACTTATCGCATAGGATGTCTATTAGCGTAATGAAGACTTAACAAAAAAAAAAGAGGTTTCTCGAAATCAGTAGTTGAGCCATTTTGTCTTGAAAATTGGCACACAAGTGGTAACAGGTAGAAATCTATTTATTTTATAACATATGTCGGCAAATTACTACATTTTATTGTTCTTATTTTGTTCTGCTAAATCGTTGGTATGATGACCAATAAGACATAGAACATGATGGTTCTACAGATATTTTGACCACAAATTCGAGAAGGCTACCAATACAAATATTGGACCGTTTGGCCTATGTAATCTCGTTATTTTTTAATGGTCATCATGTATTATATATTATGATAACAGTAAATGTTATATTTAAAATGCCAATTGAACAAGTAAATTATTTAATTATAGAATTATTTTGAAGTAAATTGTAAGCAATAATATCTTTTCTTTCTTTTTTTTCAGGGAAAAATCTATATACCAACGAGCATGTAGCCATTAAGATGGTGAGTACAATTTTTTATTTTTTAAATTAAATTAAATTAATAATAGATTATGATTTTAATTGAGCTGCATTACTCCCACTATTTTATTTCAACAATAAAAAATCTCTTAAGGAAAATGATGGTTTTATTTAATATATAATATGACATGAGTTTTGACACGTTTGGGGTTGAGATCAAGCCATACGGCCCAATGTTTTTGTAGGCCACTTTTTTCACGATTTTGTGGTCAAATTATTTTACGATTCAAGTGGAAAATAAATGGGTCTCCGTTACTTTTTTGTACCTCATTAACCACACCCAATTTATCGATCTCCGCATTTAAAACACCCCATTTTCGAGAATTCTCATTTATAAAAAAATTATATGTTACGATAAGATTCATTCTATTCGTGAAGTTTTAGCGGATGTTGAAAATTCGATAAAAAGGATACCATGGACTTTTATATATTCCCCACATTCACCATAATATATTCTCGAGCTGTCTAAACTCTATTGTAATTATATTTAAAAAAGATTATGTTTATAGCTCAAATTAGGATGAATCCACTTCCGATAACTTTAATCGATAGCTACTCTACCGCTAGCACTGATACCCGCTCTTCTAAATACTATTAGCAGGTCGACTACCTCTAATCATTTTGACATAATCGATATACCGCAACACGTTTCAACTCCGCCTTCCCCCTCCAATAGTCTTATTTTTATGCACATGTTTGCTGAGATTAATGTAAACATTAATTTATTTTTGGTATCATAACTGCTATCATGTCCTATACTCCAAACCATCAATTTCTGCCTTTCTCCAGAATGGATATCAAAGATCATTTTCCTATAACTTTTATAAGGGTTGTTAGCCTTTTTCTGAAATTCATTATCTCAAGAAAATATTTTCAGCAAGCCGATGGACTCAAAAACGCGAATAAAAGTTATGGAATAACATGTTATTAAACCGAAATGATAAATTACTGCAATTTATGCTGGTCAAATCTCACTACGAAAATATATATATATACTAGTAGACCCGTACAAAAAATTCACACAGCATATTGTTATTAAATGCCAAATTAATCATAAAATAAAGAAATCAATTGTTGCTTTATCGATAAATATAATTTACAAAGGAAACAAAAATTAATTTAAATCTTCATTAATGTTTGGAACCAACATGTTTACAAATTTCAATAAGCTGTATTTTTTCTAAAAGTTGTCCGATTTCGATGACTTTTTTTTCCTTTTGTAGGGAATTCAGTAATTTTTTATACAATCATGTGCATAACCAACAGATGAGTGTGTAGTTTTTTAGTTATTCGCAAATAAAGTTTGTTTTCTTTCATAACTTGTTTGTCTGAATTTTCGGAGTGATTGGACTATTTTGCCCGCTTGAAGGAGAAGGAAGCCTTCGAAATCGGTGACTCAATCTTGAGATTTGGTAAAGAATTAACGATGATATGGCTTGCCGATCAAAAACACCATCCATAAATAATATAAACTCCTTCTCTCTTGATCATAGAGGGCTCAAGTCGACGAAATGAGATATGTATTCAATGACAGTACTACAATTAACGTAAGGTTGTGTGGATGCGAACCCTATGCCTTGCGTTATCTCGAAAATACTACGTTTTGCGGCTTAAAAATGCAGGATCCGGAGGAACTATCCGTGTCTTGCTGTACGCATCAAAATCTTCAAGGTCCAATTTGTCCCGCATCCATCTACAGACCTACCACCGTTCCAGTATTGAAGCCTAGCAAAATATTTGTATCGACTTTATTTATTTTTGAAAGAAAAAAAAAAACCCATTCATGGTATTTGAGCATAACAGAAGCTTATATGTGGTACAAAACCGATTTCGAGCCTTACTTTAATAATATATGTGGGGATATATATTAGAGGAAGAAGATGGTCCGGGGTGGCGGTCATAAATAGATTAAAATAGTGGAATAACTATTTTATTTCAAGGCAACGTTTCGACCCGACTTTGTAGGTCTTCTTCAGGGAGATGTGTTCAGGAAGTTAGTTTTAAGCACTGGACAGTTTTTAGTGAGACTCCTTGAAATTAAATAGTTTTTCCGCTATTTTAGTCTATTTATGACCGCCATTCCGGACCATCTCCTTTTTCTGAAATACACAACGGTCAACTATTAAGTATTCAATATGACTCAAAAACCACAGAGACCAACAACGGCCTCATACAAACTCAGCACTTCTTCGCCCCAGTTCCAGATTCCAAGGTAACAGATCCGCACCTCAGGCTTACCCCATCTTCACCATAGCTCCGAGACTCTCCACAGACCGCTTCACTTCATTCGCCTACTCCGTCTGCATCGTCCTCATTTTCTGGTTTTCCAAATACGAGGCATCTTCATGTCCTGGAATCTTCAATTTTCTCAAAGCTAAATTCCACTTACACAAATCCAAATTTAATACTTTTTGCAACCTCCACAAACAGATCACTGTAAAAATTGAGAAACTGATTTTTCTGTTAAAATATAGATCCAATCAAGTCTTCCAGCAGTTTTAAGTGAAACTCCTTGCTGTACACACCTCCCTGAAGAAGACCTGCAAAGTTAGTTTTTCCACTATTTTAGTCTATTTATGACCGCCACCCCGGACTATCTCCTTTCTCTAAAATACACAACGGTCAACTATTAAGTATTCGCAAATATATATATTTTTTTAAAAATAAAATTTCTTTATTTATTATATTTTATTTTGTCATCTTTTCATTTTTTCATGAATATACTAATATTGTCCTAATATATTAGAGACTACTGATATGGGGTACTATCTAGTTTCATCATGATTTTGTCTTGAAAAACGAGAATTAAAGTAAAATTAAAAAAATATGTTAATTGAAATTACGGTCACGGTTACGATTTATTTTAGCAATTTGGAGTTCTTTGCTAATCAAGTTCGATATTAGATTAACAGTAGCGTTCTACAGTTTTAAAAATAATGTCTATATTAAGATCGCTTGTGAAAGTGTTATCTTAAATTCGTCAGTATTTTAATAAAAAAACGCCTATTTATTTAGAAAAAAACGGAAAAGCTATAAGTCGATACCTGATAGAAAACCTAAAATCAAAAGTATTGCCATAAAAAGCTCTTTCAGTAATACCTTCATAATGAACATCAAAATTGAAGAAATGAACTAGTGCTCATTCTGAATATATAAGTTTGTTGGTAAAGGGTATAAAAATAACTCATCAGTCTAAAAATAATTGAAAACGTTTTCAAATGTAGTAGAAATCTGTTTTAACCGTCAGAGTGGCTTTAGAAATACTGAAAGACATTTTAGAAAGTCAGCTAGTTAAGAAAAATCATTGCAATTACAGGAGAGGCTTAACTTAAACCATAGTTAATTTATGTGCCGAGCTTAGTTTTTGTCACTTCTTCACCTTTGCTTCTTGAGGCTTGATATAATTGCGTGCGGTTAAATATCATAGAACTAAAATTTGCAATGTCAATAGTCTTCTCTTGCTATTTATTCTTTTTTTGTCTAGAGCATGTTTGTTTTCTTCAATAAACTGAAAAAAAAAATCACAGAAAAATTGTTGTGAAAGAAAAAAAAAGAATCGCTTGAATGCAAAACTTGTCTAATAAACAGGAATGGTAGTTTCTTTTTCTTTCTTTTTTTGTTTTTTGTAGGGAGTAGGTGGTAGAACCATCATAGGGTAGGGGTAAATTTATCACCACATATTTAGGAGACATATTACCTAGTCTATGGGATAAATTGTATTAAATGGATTATTCCCCTATCCTATGAATACTAGTTCAATCATAATTACTCATGAGTATATGTACTTTTTTTTCCTTCTCAGTGGTTATTCTGGGGGAGGAAGTTCCCATCTTTCCGTTCATTAGATCCACCATTCCAATTCGAGCCACAGAAAATCTTTATTCAAAGTTGGGAAGGCAATGTGCCAGGCTTTAAACAGCCTATTATCAGTGCTTTTCTTGCTTCAAGTGCACTCGGCATTTCACTCACATTGCCAAGTGCCAAGTGTTATCAATTAACATTTGGTTGCTGCATGATCACTCGAGGCCGGATTAAGTTTGTTTTTTTTCGTTTGCCGCTGTATATCATGTCGATGTTCTTCTTACTGACGTATATTGCTTGCGGTAATTATATTCTTATGTAGGAAGGAGATGGTCCGGGGTGGCGGTCATAAATAGGCTAAATAGTGGCAAAACTATTTTATACAAACCAACGTTTCGACCCGACTTAGCAGGTCTTCTTCAGGGAGGTGTGTTCTGCTAGGAGTTTCACTTAGAACTGAGTTCAGAGATGCCACATTGGATCGTATTATTCATTTGATTATATCTTTACTGGGCGGAATTAAAGGTACAAGTAGTTAGAATGAAGCAAGTAAGGCCTGACTAATTACTTATAAAAGTAAGTGAGCAACTTGCGGTTGGTTGATAGGATATGGCAAAAAGTAGAAGTGTAATTTCAAACAGAAAACGATGAACTTCCTACACCATGTTTAGGTTTAGGCGTTACGGTCCTTAATTTTAGAACAATTGTTTCCGCAACAAACTTGCCGGATGCTCACTGGAGACGGTATAGTTCGCAAAAAAAAAAAAGAAATAATAATCAAGAATCATTTAAATATTACTAACTACCTAACGTGCGCCACGCTATTTAATTGGTTGAATTTGGAAAATAGAAATAAAATAATTTTAATTTAAAAAAAAAAGGACTTGGACGCGGAGTGAGCTACGAACGCCGCGTCCATGCACTTTCTTCTTCCTGATCTACCTGTGCGACCTTTTTTGTTAACTAGGTCAGATAAATTTGTAATAATTATTATGGCATTGTGGTTTGCGTTGCGGTAGGGTACAGAGGTAGGTTGCGATGTAGGCATCGGGAGTGGCTCATGTATAATTGTTATGTTGTCTGGGTCTATTGATTTGCAACTACTATCGAAGGTCAGCTCACTTGGTCGAAGAATACACAATTTATTGTCCAAACGGAGATATATTAGCGGTTTTATAGTGTAGTAATAATGTAAAGTACATTGTACATAACATAGGTGGTAAGGTTAGGCAGTACAAATAGAGGCCGCAATAATTTTTTATATATTACAGTATTGCTATGTGTATTTATCGCTTACTACACACACCCACATACACACATTGAACTGTATTTTATTAATTTCAAAATTGTCGTTTCTTTAATAATTTTTATTATAGCACTAGATTAATAAATATCACACAAAAGCGTTTGGAGGCTGCAACTACGTCGCAGAGGCCACCTATGGTATACCAATCAAAGTATTTTAAAAAAAAATAAAATTGATCCCCATCTTTACTATTTATACGAAAACTTTATCATTCTTTGAAAATTAAAAAAAAAAAAACTTGTTTTGACGTTAATTTTTCTTCTGAAATATGGTTTTGATTGCAATGTTGAATAAGCATTAATTCTTTATTTTATATTTTCCCTGGATGATAATCTTACTTAATATGATTTAAACATGTTTTTAACAAAAAATCTTTAAAGTATTGGTTCTCAACTCAATCAAAAAATCCCTATTTCTCAGCATAGAAATCATACTTTTTGTTTATCAGAGTTTAAGTTTTATAACAATCAACTTGGTCATCCTGACAATGTTTATTGGTTTTTTGTAGTTGTCACATATATTTGGATATTTTTTGTTGGTATTGTATTTGTTTTATAATAATTATTTATTTGCTATCTTAAGGCAGCTTTACACCATTCTCAAGCGCCACAAAGATCCTAATCTTTATTTTAAAAAATAAATAAACAAATGAATAAATAGGGCGAGGGGTGTAATAACATCCTTTAATGACAAATCGATAAATATTTTGGATTAATATTATAAATAATAACAAGCTTCTTTTCCTTTTTTTTTTACATCAGATAAAACATTAACTTTTTATTATAATCTCGTGCAACAACTGTGCATATGCGGCGCTTTCCGCTAGTCAATTCTGATTGATTTGGTCCCGAAACCGGCAGTAAGCCGTCGGGTCGTCAACGCCAACGAAAACGAAACTTGCACGAACCAAGCAAAACAGCTCTTTTACATGCTCATGGTTTGAGTGATGTGTTAACGAATAGAGAAATATGAATGACACATTTCCTTATTGATAAGTATATTAATTCAGGGATAATTCAGAATTCACTTCAAAACTGGTTTTCATCGTAGCACCGTAATAACTTGCAACCTCGCGCGAAACCTAACAACGGCAATGCATCGATTGCTCGAAAGCCTTTGGGATATTTGTCAGTCGGATTATTATGCCACAGGGTCTTAGGTCAGGCCTCTCTTAGCAACAGTATTGTTAAATTTGTAATTTTGTTTTATGCAGAATGACAAAGTACGACAACAGTAAAAACTATAGATAGCTGTCGATTTAATTTTTCGCTATTCCTTGTTAGCCAGTGAGAATTCTTCAGTATATCGTACGTACTTAGATTCATGGATTTTTCTTAAGATCTGTTGCAAATTTTTACAGTATAATAATCAAAAAAGGCACGGATATTTCATTTGAAAGAATATTTTTATATTCCGATGCAAAAGCACTTTTTATCAAATTATAATCGCTCATCTGAAAATTCATGAGTGGCTTCATTTTTATCGCAAACTACAACTTTTTTTATATTTACAAACATTTTCGAAATGGAGAATTTTCAATCTGGAGATCGTTTCATGCTAATTTAATGAATTACTAAAAAATCATGATTCTCCATTTGCTTTCCTCTTGAATTTTATAGTAATTTTATCACAAAATCGAGAAAAGGTGGAATACAAAAATATGTACATGTGTATCATGTTACAGATGGAGATTACACCAAGCGTTCTAATCTTTGTTAGGCCATCTTTTCCCAAATTTGTAATAACATTCAGTATTCGTTATTTCTGCTTGAAATTAGGGTTCTTTTGACGACTCGTTTCTCTAAATCCTTCGCTGCTGAGAGGTGTAAAATGAGTTCTATACTTTATGTAGCAGATTCTAATCAAGAATAATTCAGTAGAATAGATGAACATACTGTTGAAATATTTAAAATACCGAATACCGATTTCCTGCGGAGTAAGTGACTAGTGTTACCCAAAATAGGTCTTGGACTTTCACATTGCAAGACCAAAATCATAACTGGTAGAAAAAAAATCAATTTAAAAAAATAATTAAGGCAAAATAGTTACTAATCCTTGACAATTTTAGTTATTGTATGTAAAGACAACCAATGTAAAGAATTGGTATAACTTACATACTTTTGCATTTAACTCTTCTAAGTTTTCATTCGGGCTTAGTTTGCCTTTCCATAACTTAAAAGGCTGTTGCGATACACTTGCGCAAGACTGAGTTCGCAAGACCAAGACGAGTCTTGGTCTCGCATTTGGGCAACACTATAAGTGACCTAGATTAAAACTGTTAGTATTCACTGGCAGGGGAAATTGATGCTCTATAACTTTTGTACTATGAGTATTTTCTCTTAAGGAACTTTCCTGAAGTGCAGGACCGTTTTATATTACTTTGTTTCAGTTTTTACAAATCTGGCAAAATACAGTGTTCGCTGGCCGTGGTTATCGATCATACCACTCATTACCAAATTATTAAGTTTATAAATCAAATCAAATTTCGCTTCCGCTGAATCCTTGCTGGTGTAATGTAGCTTCGGCCCTAGGGCACCCGGTTCATGTATTACCTTGCAAGACAAATTTCTTTTTTCCCCTTCAGAACGTTAGTGGAATAGGAAACGCGACTTTAAAACTTAAATTTCTGGGTTGTTGAAATTAGTCATGAGTTTAATCGGTAATGGTGTCGTTTCTGGTCTGTAATATAGGAAATAGATAATTTATATCAGTAATGTATATCATGAGAATTATCTGTTACGTATAGCTCATGAACATTTGAAGCTTGACTAATTATATTTTGTTTATTTATATTTCAGGAACCAATGAAGTCGAAGGCTCCACAACTACATTTAGAATATAGATTTTATAAGCTCCTGGGGAATCACGGTAAGTAACAGGTTTTTCTTTTATTTACAAATTATTCCTTTAATAGAAATTTGTTTCGTTCGCCAAGATTAGCATATTGTTTTTTTTTCTGATGAGAATTATTATTTGAAATGAAATAATACAATAAATTGTAGCTTTTTTTTATTTGTTGTATCATTTACCCTTTAAAGGCATTTCTTAGCAGCGACAAGGCATTTTTTCCCCCAACTCTGAATAGAGTTCGTACATAAATTCAAACTTATTTATTGATGGGTTTATTTATTGTTGCATCTAAGTGCTGTTGTATTAAAAATTATTAAGATTTTTGTCTACAAATTGATTGTATGATTTATTATAAAATATGCATGTTGGTTATATTTTTTTTTATTGTCTTTATAAGTTAAACGCAGAGAAATACTAATTATTACATACCTCTACTAAAAAATAGAATACGAGACTTCTTTGTTAGATTTTTTTTTTGCCTATATATTTTTAATTCCAATTTTATTACTTGATAAGGAGTCCACAAATAAATATCAATAAAATAAAATTAGTCATTTTAGGGCTTAAAAAAAATCTTAAATTATGTTTCGTTTCTTTTGTTATTGCACACAACTAAGATCAAACATAGGGTGATTTTTGTTTCCTTATTTGTTCAATCAATGCAGCTGTCATATGGGAGGCTTTCTGAAAATCCTGCGGACTCATTTTTTTTTCCTAATTTAAGTTGGTGCGTCTTTCCCTGGTATTTTCTGTCACCATATCACTATTATTTTCCAAAAGTATAGTGTTAAGTAGTGAATAGGGCATACAATGAATATGCATTCATGGCTCTGTAGTTTAAGGTTATAAAAGCCCACTGATTTTGTTAAAACTAGGATATTGTGTGTTGTGGAAGTCCAAAAACATGATTTGGGATTTTTTTCATTATATCGACTTTGAAGAGATGTTATATCGAATCGTACATTCCTAATTAGCTTTCGTGTTTCCTTACGAAGTACTGTTGAGCACGCAGTGAATTCATGCCCTAAAGGGCCTAATGTCGATTTTGATCATTAGGCCCCAATTGGATACTGTTATATCCATTGCAATTTGAAATTTGTGTTGCTTAGCTAAGAGTTTAACATATTAGTTATTGGAAATTAGATATATATAAAACATGTTTTAATAACTAATATATTTTTCTTTTTTTATCTACCATTTTGACTAATTAATAAAATGAGTTAGCAAAGGTTGGATCTTAGCCATTAATTAAATAATAAATTTAAAACGAGAGCAACTTACATCGGGCTAATCCAATGAATTTTAATTGAATTCGCTTTTCACGAATGCATACTATGTCTGTATATCGATTTAATTTTTATATGGTATTTTTTTCTCTTATCTATATTTATAACTTTTTAAAAATATTTATTTCTATAATAGTGCTTTCAAGATTGGAAAATAAACCAATTAGTGTATTTATGAGCGCAATGATAATTCACTCACAGTTTTTGTCTAGAGCCAAGTCAAAGCAAAAGTCAAAACAAACTCTCCCTCCCCCCTCCACCTCTTTCTTCTTCATATCTAAATATATGCTAGTCAAAGAAATAATATGATATAAATTTAAGTCGTTTTTCAAAATTTTATTTTCTTATTAACGAATTTCTTATCTAAACATCTGTCTTAGTATCTGTCATAAATATTAAATTTTGACTCAATTGGACATCTTTTCTTTTAATAATGCATTTTTTTAGAAATAAATACTCATATAGTAGTACATATCGTATGTATAATAATATTTTATTTAAATTTAAATTATTAAAAAATATTACATTGATTTTCATTTACCCTCTTTATCGACCCTTCTTTCCTTTCAGTATTATTTCCTCTTGAATACATTCTTCTTTTATATATATCTATATATAAATTACATTTGTTGTCATTTAAAAAATATACATACTTAGTATTTTAGTATTTTTCTTTCCTTTTTTTTTTTTTTTTTTTTTTTGTTATTCCTAAATTCGAAAACTGTTTTATATTGATTCTTACTAACCAATAATAAGAGGAATTGTTTCGTCTGAAAAAAATAATAGGATTATGTTTATTTAATATGTTATACAATGAAACGTATTTTGAAAAACGTTATCATGTAATTTCAAAAATTATTTTTTAACTATTATTGTAGAAATTTTATTCGTCATCCATTATCTTCAGATTTTAACTATTCCATATTCCGATACTTTAATCCTTTTAGTTCCATATTTTCTTATTTAAAAAAAAAAAAAAACTTCTTTAGGTGTGATTTGCACTTTTTTATGGATAGTGAATTAGTTAGGCTAAGCCGTCAGATTTCCGATGTGTAACGCTCAGGTGAAATAGACTGGAGTCGACTAATTGGAGTGTTTTTTCATTTGGATTACTATATCTCAAAACCTAAAAATCACCTGCATATTGCTAGCGAGGGAAATGTTCACCATTTCATCCTTTTTGTAATGATCTATTATTCAAAATGGTATGTATGTTGATGCGACACCATGTTAGAGACGCGAAAAGAGATAAAATAGTGTCGAAAACCAAATTATAATGAACTTTTTTGAAGATTTGGTTAAAATACCTAAGAAACTAAAAATCGGACCTGCATACTGTAAGCGAAGGAAATGTTCAGCATTTCATCCTCTTTATAATGAGCTATTTATTTTATTATTTATGTTTCAAATTATTAATCTCGCCTTGTTGATGTTTTCACTTTTATCGTGTGGTCTGAAGCACATACTTTATTTTTTTTTTTTATTACAAAATTTTACTGTTAATTGAAATGCATTTAGTGGATAAACAACATCGAATTCTTAAGTCTCGTCCTGCATTCAAACCCGATCTCCGTTTATTATCTAACACAAATTGGAATTGTCTATTTGGCTAATTTCATGCGCTTTATTGGGTTTCATAGCTCCAGTCAGATAGAAGGAAAAGTGTTGTAACAGTTCTCAGATGTCGGGCCACAATGGCCCGTTATGAAAATGTCTTTTCAAGGGTTCAACAATGGCGGTCGGGTATTCTTCTCCTCATGGCGTTAGGTTACGTCTTTTTCAGCAAAAATTGCACATTGTCTAGTGATTACTTGCTGAAACCTCTGGCCATAGTGGGTAGATCTTTGTCTGGCTGGGGGTGTACCAACCTGAAAAATAATGAGGTGCATGTAAGGCTTTGAAAAGTATGCTCTATTGTTTTTTGATTGGTATGATGTGTCTCTGATCAATCGTTCCCTCATCTAACTCTTGCAGGTTCTTTGTTTTAAATATTAGAATTCATTTATTGTTTTCTCTACTCCTTAGGGTCATTGGTGTATTACCTCAATTTTATATTCTCTCATCCAATTTTATTTATTTTAAATATTTAAACAGTTTTTATATTCCTGTTTTCTTATTCTTCAGGAGGTTTTCCCTTTGAGAACTGTAACTACTACGTTCTAAATGCATATCCTTAACAGTTCTGGTTACCTATTAGTTAAATGTATTTTTAAATCTTAAATATTATCGAAATCTATAACGACTTCGCTGTTATAACGCCATTTTTTTACACGGCCATTATTATCAAGTATTCTTTCATTTTAGTTATGTTACAAAAGTTGTAGAAATTTTATATCGATATTAGAGCCGCAGCACTTGTCTGGAGAGGGGGGAGGGAGTAGATGACAACTATCAAGAAAAACATTTTTTTTTTTAGCTTAAATATTTTTTATATTATTTTTTCCTGAGTTTTTTATTAGCTATGTTCTAAAATATATTAAATATTGAATTTTATTGGAAGGAGAAGAGATGAAAATTAAGTTAAATAAAAGGAGGTAAAATTTAGTTTAGTTTGGTTTCCTGCCTTCATCAATATCGTATTAGTTTTCAATATATGTATACTTAAGTATACGTAATAACATAATTAATTTATTAATTTTTTTCTTAAAGTAACGTAGCTTTTTTTTGTTTCTAGTATTATTTCAGAGATTATCACTCTTCATTATGGGCAAAGATATATTTTTCATGCAAAATTTAAATTTAAATTACCGTTATGATTATAAAATAGAAATTGTTTTCTCTGTATAAGTGACTCATTTTCTTTTTTTTTCTTCTGTTGATGGTCAGTCATCGTGAACGAGTGTGTTATAACTGTTAGACTTTCTTTGTGCTATTTCTAAGTACTGTCGTATAATACTGTTAGGTGCTTTATCTGTATTAATGCTGAGCGCAGTACTCTCATGAAGGATTTATCACATTGTATCGGATGCTGTATCATGTGTCTGTAACTGTTTATGTATTATCCGTTCAACTAGGCTTCAGATTCCCACTCATTTATGGCTTACTTCCTTTTCTTATGGTTATATTCCCATAATCAGATCAAAGGGAAGTTCGCCCACAAACTTAGTATTTTTTGTCGCTCTCTTAAAGTCCTTGTGAGTTAATTTTAAAACCATTAAGACATTGATGGTATATAAAGGCAGTCATTATGAAATAGTCAATACTGTATTTTCGGTTGATTTAACGAAGGTTAAGGTACCCACTTTTAATAGATTGTTCGTTACATTCCTTTATTTTCTTGTTTCTGGACTGCTACTTCTTGCTAAAGTCTAGCTTGTCAGTTTTCCTCGCACGTTTTGCTGGATCCCGTTTATCGTCCATTGTCTTGAAAGAAAAAAAAAATCTCAAATATTGGACACTTGTCTGATTCCTTGTTGATAACCTCTTATAACAGAGAGAAATTCTTCCAAAATAAAATAAGAGCATTCAATTTAAGAAAAGAAGTGGAGAACTTGATATATATACACATATTTCATAAAACAGCAACATCTATTGCCATCGGAGTGGTTTCATGTATTTGTCTCTTGGGAGATATTTCACCAATGTCTAAATCTTTATAATTTGAGTAAACTGCACTACACAAATCATGTTTTTCTTTTATCAGTTAGGTACAATAGATAATAGTAATAGAACATTCGCTTTTTTAATATTTGATGTACTTATACTTTACCTTGTTTTTTCTATGCTGTCCAT